CTCCACAGTAAATTTAATTGGAAAAAAAAAACCCTCATGAGCACAAAACCAAAAATCTTTAACAAAATTTTAGCAAACCCAATTCAATAATATATATAAAAGTTAATATTCCATGATCAAACAAGATTTAATCCAGGAATGTAAGATTGGTTTTATACAAGGAAATCAGTAATGTAAATCACATTATCACTTTAAGATATAGAAAAAGAATCTGGAAAAATATAACATTAGTTTATGATGGAAACTTTAAAAAAATTAGGAATATAAAAAAATTTCCTTAACCTAATAAAGATGTATAGAAAAATCCTACAATTCACATTATTCTTAATGGTAAAATATTAAATGTAAAGAATGGAAATAAGATATGGAAACAACCTAAGTATCCATCAATGGATGAATGGATAAAGAAAATGTGGCATACATATACGTATACAATGGAGTATTATTCAGCCATAAGACAGAATGCAGTACTGTCATTTGTGACAACATGGATGGGTCTTGAGGGCATTATGCTAAGTGAAATAAGTTAGGTAGAGAAAGACAAACACCATATACTCTCACTTATTTGTGGAATCTAAAAATAAAGAAACAAAAAACAAGCTCATAGATACAGGTCACAGACTGGTGGTTGACAGAGGCAGGGGGTGAGGAGTAGGCAAAGTGGGAAGGTACAATCTTCCAGTTATAAAATAAATAAGTCCTGGGATGTAATTTACAGCATGGTGACTATAGTTAATAGTAGTGTATTGCATATTTGAAAGTCACTAAGAGAGTAGATCTTAGAGAGTAGTTCTCACCACAAGCAAAACATAAATAAATAAATTTTGTAACTAAGTATGGTGATGGATGTTAACTAGACTTATTGTGGTAATGTCACAGTATATACAAATATCAAATCATTATTTTGTACACACACAAAAAAATCTTTAAAACACATATATTTCATAGAGGCTTTGTATCTAATAGAATATGTAAAGAAACTAATATAATGTTATATGTCAATTATATCTCAATTAAAAGTAATGGGAATACAACAAGACTTACCACTTCTATTCAACATTGTACTGGAGGTCCTAGCCAATGCAATAAAACAAGAAAAAGAATAAAAGGCATAAAAACTAAAAAAAAGTAGAATGTTTTGTTGTTGCAAAAACATGATTTTATACACAGAAAATTCTAAGAAATCTACGAAAAATTATTAAATAAATTTAAGAATGCCCTAAAACAGGGGTCGGCAAACTTTTGATATGGAAGAGCTGCCAGGGGTCGGCAAACTGCGGCTCGCGAACCACATGCAGCTCTTTGGGTACGTACATGTGGCTCTGAAGTAAAATTGAAAATGAAAATAAAACTATCATAGTTTCATTTATAATATTACTTTAAATTTTCCTTATTTGTAGAAATATATTTATGGCTCTCGAATAATTTTTAAATTGTTGTGAAGGACAGGATTGGCTCTTCCAGGGAAACTTTTGAGACAGAACGTACCCAAAGAGCCACATGTGACTCGCGATCCACAATTTGCTGACCCCTGCCCTAGAATACAAAGTTGATATTTTCACATACTAGCAATGAGCCATTAAAATATGAAACAAAATGTGCTATTCACAATAGCTTCCAAAATATAAAAAATATAAATTGAATGAAAGATGTTTAAGACTTTTACACAGAAATTTGTGAAAGATAACAAGAGAAATTTAGAAAAGCATGAATAAGTGAGACGGCATACCATGTTCATGAGTTGAAACATTCAATGTTAAGTCTAACGTTAAAATGTGAATTATTCCCAAATGCAATCAAAATAAAATCTCAGCAGGTTTTTCTTTAAAAATTAACATGCTGATTTAAAAATTATTTAAAAGTATGGAAGACCTAGAACTACCAAAATAATTTTTAAAAAGCAGACTAGGGTTGGAGGAGTTCTCTTATCTGACTTCAAGATTTATTATAAGTCTATAGTAATCAAGACAGTGTAAAAGGACATATAAAGAGATCAATGGAACAGAACAGAGTCTAGAAATAGACCCACCTATACACAGTCAAATGATAATTGATAAGGCTGAAAGTCAAGCGATTTTAACAACTAATTCAGAGGAAAAGGAAATTTTTTCAACAAACGGATTCTGAGACAACAAAAAAAGCACAAAAATTAATTCAAGATGGACCCCAGGCCTAAATATAAAAGCTAAAACTACCAAGATATTATAGAAAACATAAGAGAATATCTTAGCAATCTTAGGACAAACATTTCTTAGAGAGTCTATAGAAAACTTGTACATACAAAAAAGTGATAAATTAGACTTCATAAAAATTGGATACATTTATTCATTAAAAGATACTGTGAAGAAAATAAAAAGGAAACCACAGACTGGAAAAAAATCTTTAAAACATATATTTGACAGAGGCTTTAAATCTAGAATATATAAATAAATCTTATATATCAATAATAAGAAGACAAACAACCAAATTAAACAAATGAGCAAAGATTTAAAAAGACATCCTTTAAGAGAATATATAAGATTGGCCAATACAACAAGATAAAGTGCTCAACATTATTAGTCATCAGGAAAATGCAAATTATAAGCACAATGAGATCCTACTGTACATTCAGTAGAAAGACTAAAACAGCGGTTCTCAACCTTCCTAATGCTGTGACCACTTAATACAGTTCCTCATGTTGCGGTGACCCCCAACCATAAAATTATTTTCATTGCTACTCTATAACTGTAATTTTGCTACTGTTATGAATCATAATGTAAATATCTTTTTGTTTTCCGATGGTCTTAGGCGACCCCTGTGAAAGGGTCGTTTGACCCCCAAAGGGGTCGCGACCCACAGGTTGAGAACCCCTGGACTAAAATGAAAGAACCTTAACATCATTCATTGGAGAGGATATGGAGCAGCTGAAACTCTCATACATAGCTGTTGAAATGCAAAATAGTATTAACCTCACTGAAAAATAATCTGGCAGTTTCTTGAAACATTATCCATACATCTACCCTATGACCCAGCATTATCATTACTAGGAATTTATCCAAGAGAAATAAAATCACATGTCTACAAAAAGCCTTTCACAACAGCAGGTTTATTAGGTTCATAGCAGGTTTATTCATAATAACACTAAACTAGAAACAGCCCAGATGTCAATCAATAGGAAACTAGATTTATAAACTGGCATATTCATATAATAAAATATTACAAAGCAATAAAAAGAAAAGGGATAAACAAGTGACACATGAAACATCATGAGTGACTCCCAAAAACATGCTGAATGAAAAATCCTATGCACAAAAATGTATGTACTCCCCCCCATCCCATTTATATGAAATTGTAGAAAAGGCAAAAATATTCTGGTAATAGAAATCAGATTACTCGTTCCTTCGGCACCAGGTGTGGGTATTGATTGGGAAGGGGCTTGAGTGAACTTTTTGGGGTGATGAAAATGTTCTGCTTCTTGATAAGGAGTGTAGTTACATGAGTGTACACATTTGTCAAATTACTGAACTATATACTGAAGATCTGAGCATTTCATTGTATACAACTTATATTTCAATTAAAAAGTTCCTATACACTTCATCTGAGAAATCCCTCCTGTGGGAATCTATCCCATAAAATAAATGCATCAGTACATAAAGATACACAGATAAAGCTTCATTAGAAAAAAAATCAAGGTTCCCATTATGTTTGAAGCAGATTCTGTAAGAATGATTTCATTTTATTGGTCAACATTACAACACATTTTGAGGAGAAAGTGAAAAGATTAACACAAAGGGAATGCATAATCAAAAATGCATTCCCAACCCAGATAAAAGACCAATATATTTTTTTTAAGTGAAAAAGTCACATAAAAAGCACAGGCTGGATAATTTTTCCCAAAAAATATTTGAATAAGCTTGAGGTTTTTCTGATAAAAATACCAAAGATATTGTGGTTAAACAGCAAGAATTGTTATAAAGACCCATGCTATTTCTGCTCCATTTCTAACAAATCCACATTTCTTTTACATCATCGTGCTCTTCTAAAAGTTCTAGCACAAAGACCACTTAAAATCTTTTTTCAGATATGAGTAAGGCAAGGAATACAGAGCTCCACAATACATACTGGAGCAGTTTATAGTGTGAAACAAACAAAAAAAAGAATATCCATCAATAGGTGAACACACTGTGATACACTTATAGAATGGCATATTAGGCACCATTAAAAAGAATAATCACATACATGCAATTTGACTTGAAAGGATTTCCATCATGTAGTGTTATTTGAGAAGAGGAAGGTGCAGAAGTATAGAATATAATCCTATTTTAGCAAATAACAATGACAGTCCTCATAGCTCCCAACCCTATATATGTATCTTTGGTACGTGTGCGTGCATGTGTGTGTGCGTGTGTGTGTGTGTGTGTGTGTGTGTAATATAGATAGTAGATACAGATATATGGATATATAAAGGTATGATGGAAAAAATACCAAATCGTTAATACTGATATCTCAAAAGGGGAGTGGATGTCTGGCAGCTGGGAGTATAAAGGAGAAAAGATGTGTTTTAATAAGCGTTCCCACAATAAATATGTAAGAAATGCTATAATTATACATACATACACACATACATGCATGAAAAGATGATAACCAAAATCATTTTATGTGAGTGTTGAAATATATGGATTTCTACTTTCTTCCTTATTTTTTTTTTCTATCTGCATTGTTGGCTATTGACACACTATTTATGCAATCAGAAAAAAGGGCATTTTAATTTTTATTTTGGGGGAAATAAACGTCACAGACCTGAAAAACAATGCAAAAAGCTTTGCAATTTAAAAAATATATGGTGCAATAAGTAAAGATATTATGAGTTTTGTATAACAAATGTTTTCAAATTAAAAATTTTTAAATAAAAGATAATTACATAGTGCACGCACCACTTTTTGCTGACACCAAAGAACAAATTACCGTATGCAAACAGACCCCCAAGCACAGACATCGTGGACTGGCAGACACACACGTACCTGGATGACTAAGAAGAGTATCAAGTTCTTCTTTGGCCACAACCATTCTTAATCTATCACTACTGTCAATGACAAAAATAATGGCTTGTCCATCTCTGTATAATAGAAACAATGAGAAAAATTAAAGATAAATGTATACATTTTTCTATGTTTACTATTCACTTGCATGTCCTAATCTGTGTATTACCTCTTCAAGTCCTATGTCCGTTAATCATTGTAAGCTTTGGTGCTGTTTCTTATTAATTCATGAGTGATTAATATATTAGCCATTAATATTTCATGTAAAACAATTTCTTTTCATTTAGATGATAATATGTGTAGGGTAGATTTAACGACTTGTTTCAATAATTAAAAAAAAATACAAGTTAAACCATAACCCTGTTACATAGATATAATCATTATTAATGTTTTCATGTAAATCAATTTGGACATTTTCTTTGTGTAGTCACATATGAATATTTACATCTATATAAATGGAATCCTATTTTATACCCTGCCTTTCTGATACATATGTACATTTCCTTGATTTTTTTTGTAGTATAGCCTGAACTACATTTATATGAAACATTAAAGCTCTACACTAGTGTTTCTCAAATATTTTTTACTATAACCATAGTGAGACATACATTTTACATTAAGATGCAACAGACACATAAGTATACATAAATATATTTGAACTAAATCCCCTGAAACGATACTTACAAATAGCTTTTATTTCATTCTATTTCATTTTTTAAGCTGATAGCCAGCCACTGAACTAGTTTAAGGATTCACTTATAGATCACAGCGGCACTTCAAAAATCACTGATTCCCTCTGCACTCTTTCTTTTTAATGGTTATAAAGTATTCCACTGCATGGATGTGTCATCAAATATTGTGTCAAACTTCTATTGTTGGATTTATAGGTTATTTCCAATTTTTATTATTATGAAAAACTTCAAGATAAATATCCTCCTAAATACATTTCTAAAGTTTCTTGAAGGTTTAACATATATTCTTATAAATAAAATTTTTAGAAATACATATGGAATTTAGATTTTAGATAAACATTGATAAGTTGTCCTCCAGATATGTTGTATCAATTAATACTACCACCAGCATTTTTCCTATCCTCTTGTCAGCATGGCTTTTACTTTTCTTTTCAATTTTTGCCATTCTAACAACATATTATTTTACTTTGTATTTCACTAATTGCTAGTGCAGTTCATTATCTTTTCATATATTTATTGGACATTTATACTTTTTTGTGAATCATTTATTCAAGTCATAAATTAAGATTTTAGAGTTCAATGTCATTAGTAATCACATAAATATAAAACAACTTTTTAAATACCATTTTCTCCTATCATTAAAAAAAATGAATGCAGATTATCACAATCACACATTCCTAGTGGATATAGAGACTGGTACAATTGGAAATATCTATCAAGGGCTTTAAAAATGTTGTATAATTAATCTCTGAGACAGTAATTTTATTTCTGGTATTAATATTTAAGGAAACATGAACTGTGAAAAAGATTTATGCTACAAGATGTTAATTGAAGGATTATTTATAATCTTCAAAAACTGAGAATAGCCTTCATATCCCAAAACAGAAATGATTAAGCAAATTTTGGCACAGGCACATGAAAAAATATTAGGCAGCCACTGGAGTTATACTGTTTGTATGTTTTTCCTGATTTATCCTTATCACAGAATGTTAACTTAAAAAGCAGGATAAAAACTACATATTACACATAATTTTAGACGGCTCCTTTCTCAATTATGTAAAGTATACATTATATAATTCCAAAAAGAGAAAACACACCAAAAAGATTAAACAATGGTAAATTTATTTGGAGTGAGATTTATAGGTAACACTTTTTAATATTCCTTTCTATGTTTGTTAAACATTAAAAAAATGTATACTCCTTATATTTTATAACTTTTTTATATTGTAAGAGTAGCATGCAGAAATCATATATTAAAATTACAACATCATATAAATGACAAAGGAAACTTCCCTTATAATCTTATTATTCCCCAAACAAATGCTATTAATGGTTTGGTGCATATTCCACTAACAACTCTCTTCTCTATATATAAACTAAGCACATACTTTTATTAATAATAATATTTTTCTTTATATAATTGAGATATGAAAAAAATGTCATTATAAACAATGCTCAACACATCTTTCTATGCATATCTTTGACTCTGACTAGTCCTAGTTATAGCGTACATTTTGAAGTGAAAATGGTAGCTGAAGGGCACAAACATTTTTCATTTTAACAGATATTGATAAATTACCCTGAAAAAGATTAACATTCCCACTGTAAGTGACTCCTTTTGCCTACAGTAGAGTTAATTAATCTTTTTAATCTCTTTCAGTCTGATAGATTGAGATGAGCTTGTTCTGTAATAATCATAAAAGTATAGAGATACAAGAAATAAATTTACTATTATTATAGATTCCTCGATAACCATTCAACCTACAGTTTATGTATAATATTCCTGAATTCAGTAACTTCTTTGAAAAAGATTTTGAAGAAAAAGGAGTTAAAATCAGAAAGTTTCCATTTTTTGAAGTACTATTTTCTACGATTTTTCAGTGTAATTAAAATAAGTGTTATTTTTATAAAAGTAGTTAAAGTAAATACATTTTTTTTAAAATGAATTTTTAAAAATTCCGACTAATTGGAGCAGGAATTAAAAAATCCTATACTGAAAACTCAGGTTTTCTTAAAAAACAAAACAACTCACATTTCCCTAGGAAATTTAATGCAGGATACCAGAAACATGCCACTTTTCCTTTCCAAACTGACCCTTAGATCTGAAGCCCTCTTTTCCCTCTACCTCAGAGGTCATCTGTATCTACAAGATTTAAATAGGCCTTCAATCTATTAAAGCACTCACTGAAAAGAATATCTGAAATAAATCTTCTTGGTTCATATCTGAGGAATACAATGTTTGTTCCCACATTAGCAGAAAATAATTAATCAATCAAAATAAAAATCTGATCTGACAGTCATCGCATACGATTTCAAGGTAAGAGTTCATAAGTCCAAAAGGGCATTTGGTCAAGGGATGCTGTTTTTAAGTTTCAGACTCCAAAAGTGAGTTACACTGCCTGCCCTTAAATGAGTAGTCCTAGCAATATTAGAAGGTAATGAATTCATTTTTATACCATATGCAAATCTTGAGAGGGTGTAACAAACACATTTGGACCCTTAACTTGATAGCTGTTGATCTAACATAAATAGCGAGCACTTGATTTGCATATGCTGAAAATATCATTTAGAATTGCTTGTAGGACAAATGAATCAGCTGTTGGACAGTAGTCACTTCAACTAAATTTATTCAATAAATATTTACTGATCTATATGCTCAGCATCATATTTGGCCTTGAAAAATTAACCTGAATGAGCAATAATACCTACCCTTGAGGAGGAGTTCATAATCTCATCAGGGAGGCAGCTATGCCATATGACTTTAAGACACAATAAGTATGATTACAGGGATGTGAATGTGCTGTAAGAACACTGAGGACAGAATAACTGGGCAAAACAGTGAAATTTCAAAGAGAAGGTAACTTTTGAGCTAGTTCTTAAAGCATGAATATATTAACCTTAAATTGCAGAGAAGTAGGGTAGAACAGGGTATTAAAAACAGAACAGCATATGCAAAGGCCCAAGGTTATGAAGGATTTCATGCATTTTAAGAAGTAACGTGAAGATTGTACTTTTTTTTTTTGAATTGGGGAATTGGGGGAGGGGAACAGCGTTGGGAGAATCAGGGAAGGGGAACAGACAAGTTGCTGTCCCTTATATTCTTCAGTCTAGTGTGGAGGATGCCACTGCACTGGCCCATGTTGGTATTATGATCACTGCACTCTTCCCAGCTGAGGAGGTCAGTCGCCGGCCATTGGATGGCCGTTCACAGCAGCTCAAGGCAGTTCACACCGGCTGTCGGCCGCTCATGCGGGCTGCCAGCCACTCACGGTAGCTTACCACAGCCCACTGCAGCCTACACTGTCGCTGGCCACTCACAGCAGCCCAGCTTCAGGTCAAGCTGTTGTTCACCATCTTAGCTGTAGCGGGTGCACTGTCACTGGCCCATGTGGGAACCAAACTGGCAGCCCTGCTGCTCAGAGCTCGTGCTCCCAAGCCAACTCTTAACCAACTGCGCCCCTCGGCTGGCCCCTGTACTTTTTTTTAAAGTTGGAAAATGTGCTTAAATTATATGAAAAATAAACACTACAACCCACCCTATACGATTATTTGAATTTGAATATCTAATCATTATTTGTTATTAAAATATACCCATCTGGTTAACCAAAATTCACAAACATACTCACTTATAATAGTGTTCCCAGAGATTTCTGTATCTTCCTTGACCCGACATGTCAAACACTGTAAAAGACAAACTACAAAAATACAAAAAAAAAAATGTGACTACATTATAAGCTACTAACTTTAACGTGTAGCTTTCACTTAAAATTTAAAATTGTTTTCACTTAAATTTTAAATTCTTTCAAGAAAGAAACCATTCTTGAATATACAATATTCATCTTGGGCCAATTTTCAAGTACAAATACCATAAAATAAATTTATTGAATACAAATATGATTTTGCAATGAGTAACATGAGTTTTTTTGCAAGTGATGTTATCAGAGTTTGTCTAAACTTTAAATTCTGGAAAATAATCCAGAGGTAGTGGTATAAATATATTTTGTACCAGCTTCTGAAATAACAAATTACTTTTTCTAAGAGTAGGAGGAATGACTAGGTAGATGTAATATTATCATTTTCACCCACAACTTCTTAGTCACAAGTATAATAAGCAAATTACCTGGACGATTTGAATTTCTCTATGCTGAATCCTATCGTTGGAACTATATCTTGAGATTGAGCCTTTAACAGAAAAGAAAAAGTATAGGAATTTCCAATTATCAAAGATGAATTTTTTTCCTTCGGTTAAAAAAAGGCATCCAGATTTTCCAATTCTAAAATCTGCCACTAAGGAAATGACACAATTAGACTAAATTATAATTTTTGCAATGGGAATCACTGTGTGTAAATTCTTTTTTTTTTTTTTTAAGATTTTATTGGGGAATTGGAGGAGGGGAACAGCGCTGGGGAATCAGGGGAAGGGGAACAGACAAGCTTTTTTTTGTTCTTCAGCCTAGTTGCTTCACTGGCCCAAGCTGGCACCATCATTGCGCTCTTCCCGGGTGAGGCAGATCAGTCGCCGGCTTCTGGATGGCCACTCACTGCGGCTGCTGGCCGCTCACACTGGCTGCTGGCTATACACGGTAGCCCATGGCAACCCACTGCAGCAGGGGCTGCAGCCTATGCCGTCGCCACGACAGCCCAGCTCCAGGTTGAGCTGTTGTTCAGCATCTTAGCTGTGGAGGGCAGTGTCACTGGCCCTCATATGTGGCATCCGAACCGGGGCCCTCTGGCATCCCAAGCCAGTTCTTAACCAATGCGCCACTCGGCCGGCCCTGTAAATTCTTTATAGAAGTTTAAGGCTTACTAATTATGAATTTGTATAACATGTTTGTATTAATTCACATTTTGTGGTTTGCTGCATGTTATTATGAATTTAAAGTGGTTTGGTAAGTCACCCTGAGCTCAAATTTAGGACTTTCTAATCTTTCAACACATACTTATTGAGTTTGTATGTGCTTTGGGAACTGCCCTCATGTGTAGATGGTGAATATACATGGTCCCTGCTCTCATGCAGTTTATAATCTACAGGAGATAAACAGCAATGAACAGCTAATTTACAAATGAACATAATTTTGGGCAGTGATAAGTGCAATGAAAGGTGACAGGAGATGGGGTGCAATTGGTATGAGGCATAGAAGAAGGGTACTCAGGAAAAGCTTCGCTGAGGAGGTGACATCTGACCCAGGAGTGAATATCAAGAAGGAGAAAAGCTATGGCAAGATCTTGGGAAAGAACATTCTAGTCAAAGAAATTAGCCAGTGCAATGACCCTAGGACAGAAAGAAACTCACCACTTAGAAGGCCTGTGTGCTTAGTGTCCTCCGTAAGGGCAAGAGCTGTATGTAATGAAGTAAGGGAGGTAGGGTCTTGAAGAACACTGAGGGGAATTCTTTGTGGAGAAGAGGCTGCAAGTGCGCAAGGCAAGAGCACAGCGGACCCACAGGCAAGTAAAACACCTTATACTGAGTACTTAACAAGGCATCTCCTTACATTTCCACCATCAAAACTGTTCTTCCTTTTGAATGATTTTTTATCCACTTTCTGATCCAGATGCCTAGAAGTTATTCTTGATTCCTCCCTTTTTAACATTTTCTATATAACCATTCTCCAAGCTTTATTGGTTCTGTCTCACTAACTTAGGTCAGGCCCATATCATTTCTTGCTTTGAATTTGTGTAACAGCCTCCTAATTACTCCTAATTATCCCTAATTGCTAATATGCTACCTTAGACAAGTTACTGAATTTCTCTAAGCCTCAGTTTTCGCAAATGTGAACTATATTATTATTATTACCCTTAACTCATAACGTTATCATGAGAATTAAATGAGTGAATGGTGTAAAATACTCAACAGCGTCTGGTCCACAGCAATATTCAACGAATGTTTGCTATTATAATTATACTTTCACTGATTTTATTCTTGTCCCCAATTTTCTATACTTCCACAAGCATAACTTTAAAAAAAAAACCTTCAGTACATCTTGTTGCTTTTATATGAAAACAGGAGGGGTAGAGGGGAAATTGCTGCCTCCCATTACACTCATTTTGCTAGTCTATTCTGGAAATTTAAAATTCAAACAGAAAGAAGCTGGAAAGTCACTGGAGCACGGTCACCTCAATGGTAATGTGCTGGTGAAAAGGAATTCCCGGAGCGGCCCTCGTTTTGCCTTTCTGAAGTTTGTTTATTCAGCTTTTCCTTCCATCTTATAAACTGCCTAGTATTCTTCCAAAAATATCTTTCTTTTTGTTTACGTTAGACAGAATTTATTTCCTGCTACTCAGATTTGTGCCTCGCTTGCATCTTAGGGTTCCTTGGTTGCACGACAAACTATGGAATAAAGAGATTCCTAATTTTTAATGTCCCAAAATACCCGGCTTTTGATTTTAAGGGTTTTCATGTGCCAATCTTGTGATAAAATCATCAGCTATTATTATTAGGAAAAACATACCAACAATAAAAAAAGTGAGGAAGTTAAAGATTTTAAAAAATCGCAGAAAACAGTAACCTTGTCTTCACTGAACTGTAATTCAGATATTCGGCTAACCTCCCCACAATCATCCAGATTCTTCACAAGCTCTTTGTTTCCATGGAAGTCCCCCCTTTAATTTCCTGCTTTACTTTATAGGGATATAATTAATCAATCATCATTCCCTGATCAAAAATGAAAATTAAAAAAAAAAATCACTGATCAGTCCATTTGTCCAAAAATTTATTAATTACCAAGCAATATTCTAGGTATTTGAGATTCAGTGTTAAACAATATAAGATTTATGCTTTATGGAATTTAAATTTATAATGAAGAAAAATTTAAATAAACAAGTAACCAACTGAACATGCAAGATAATTTCAGGTTGTTTTAAATGCTAAGAATATAAAACTGGATGATGTGATAAAATGAGAGCATTTATGTTGGGAAATGGGGGGAAAGTGGGAATTTTAACAGAAAGGTGTTCATAGAATGCATCTCTAAGAAAATGACAGCTAAGGCCAGATACTTGAAAAGAGTGATCAGGTTAAAATTTCCCCCCTCTCTCCTTATGCATTAGTTTAGAAAACACCAGCAATCTCAATATATAAATAATAAACATTAGGACAACTTAATATTAAAAACCATTTTGGGGCAGGAAGTATCTAAATAGTTACCTAGAAACTGATATTATCCACAAAAAAATAAGAGACTACTTTACTATAAAAATGAGATTTGCAATTTTTTGTAAGACTTTTCTGATAGTCTTGTAGACGTCTGTAATTCATTTATCCACTAAAATAATGTTTCTAACAGTGAATGTAAGCTCACAAGAGCCTCTTCAAGGGTTCAAAGGTATGAAGGAAGCAAGTGTTACATCTATATCTGAGTGACAGAGGTTTTGGGGTCTTTAAAAAGTCCTATTTTGCCGGCTGAGTGGCTCAGTTGATTAAGAGCTCGCCCAACAGTTTGAGCTCTGAGCAACAGCGGTTCGAGTCCCGGCCCGAGCTGAGCAGCCGCTGAGCTAACAACAGGTAGCAGGATGGCTCAGCTAAAAAAAAAAAAAAAAAAAAAAAAAAAAAAAAAAAAGTCGTATTTCAAGTGGCTTCTTGGCTATTATCATCAACTTTTTTTTTAAAAGAGCAAAGCAATTGAGTCTGCTCTCAGGATCTAGAGGTCAATTATTTTGAGGAGAGGATAGGAGGATAGTGGCCTAAAGATTAAGGCTCAGGAAGTGGTATCAAAAATTAGGTGATCCCCTTAAAAGAGCTGGGGAGCTAGTCTAGGCTAGTTCCATAACTCACCAGAGGTAACAGAGATACAGGGATGCTGGAAATCAACATAAGATTAATTAGAAAGCTTTAGTTATTGGCTATGTACCCCGGTTTTCCTGGTGGCTCTCCCTGACTAATGTGATGTGTTAGGCAGGGTCAATCATGGTCTGTCATTAGGCCACTCTGAAATGGGGATATCAGAAGATTTTAAGATGACAGACGGAGCCAATGCTGCCTCCTGTCTCTCCTGCTCCAAATCTCTAGAAATGACAGAAGAAATCATGAAAAAAAAATTCCGTAAGATCAAGTGTCTTCAAAAAACCAATTCTGTTTTTGGAAGAAAGCTGTTTCCATCCACAGAAAAAATTATTCCTATATTAAAAACCATGTCTGGGGACAGAAGATCACTGTACTATTGGGAATGGCAGAGGAAGAGACTGTCATCTCTATTTTGTTCTTTGAATGTTATTTCTCCCAATTTGAGTACAGTGGGCACTGGAGGGTTTGTCCATTTGTGGGCCATTAACTCTGGCTCTGGTTTAAATCATTTTGTACTTGGATCTGAGACCCCTTTTACAAACAAACAAATAAACAAACAAACAAACATAAATAACCTTTGAGGCACAGATGGGTATGGTTCTGCTTTTACCATACATGCACTGTTCTCTAAATTCAATTCTGGACCCCATCCAATTGGATAGGATGCCCTATCTTCCTCTTAAGGACTGATAAAGAAATTTTTTTGTAATCACCTAGGTCAGGAGACGGATGCCAATGTAAGTCGGCTTTTTAACCTGTTCTTTTCTTTACTGGGGAAGAATCTCTTTTCCTGTTTCCACATAGAGAAAACTCCATTAAAATGACACTCCTAGTTTCTCTATTTCCTCTCTCTCAATTTATTCCTCTCCATGGGGGTTGAGGGTGGGGGGTGGGGTGGGGGGAATGACTTCTTTGCTCAGTTTGTGAAATGGAACTGAATATCCTTGGTTCTGCCTCTCTCTCATTTGAGAGCCACATGATTATCACAAGCATGCATTTATTCTCATCTATTCTTAACTATGCAGTAAACCTAGAAGAGTTGCATCTTTCCCTGAGGAGGAAATCTTGAAATTTGGAGAGGTTAACCTCAATTCAAGAGAGTGTTAGCAAGTCCTCTGGCCAGGCCTAAACCCTGTCCTCCAAAATCAATCTTTTCAATAAAGCCTGACTTCAGCATGTATATCTTACCTGATTGCCAACTCTTTTGGGGAGCCCCCCTAAAACACCTAAATTACCTTCCAAATCCATTTCACCTTATCCCAGCTGCCTTAACCTAACTCCCACCTGAAAATACACCAGCAGTTAGCTATTTTTACATGGTAAACTCATCTGTGTAGGAGGTAATAATGACTGGAAGAAAAGAAATAATGGCATTTTTATAATTCCAAAGCAATCTCCAACTAAACAAAAGTAAAACTGAAGCTGCTGCAAAAGAAATGGAGCAGTAAGGCTTCTCATTCTGCCCAACCTGAAGCACTGTTTTAGAGACAATGAAGTCTACCTTTAATTACCATTGTCCGTTCATCCAGTCTTTAAGGTACCAGCTTCCTAATTTTTCCCATTGTCTGTGCTTCCATATTATCTTTTTACTCAACACTTTTCATTACTTGACTAATGGTTGTTACCTGAATAAACGTATTCACAATTGTAAATGCTGATTATCTACCCCATATGGCTTTCCCCTTCTTCCATACTTATAGGACACCTATTATTGCTGAAAGCAGTAATATGCCCTGCTTTAAAAACAAATCCAGCCTCATTTAGAGATAGGGGTAGCCAGTGGGATGTAAGTAAGAGTCGTTAGGGCTTCTGGGTAAGCTCTTTAAAGAGGCTTATTTAGCAAGAAGGCTTATTTGTTTTCCCTGTTCCTTTCCCATCCCTGTGACTTACAGTCTAGACATATAGTTAAAACCAATGTGACCATGTGGAGATCTTGACGGTAAAAACCAGTTAGAGAAAGAGATGGAAGATGCAGAGCAGAAAGATGGAAGATGCCTGGATCTCTTGTGACCGTGTAGCTGCCACACAAGCCCTGGAATACCTCCTCTGGCATTATTCAGATGACAGAAAAAGAAGCCTCTATTTTATTTAGTCCACTGGTATGTGGGTTTTTTTTATATGCAACAGAACCTAGCTTTAACTTGTGCTTCATGTGGTGTTGAATGTGTTAGCTTTATATATTTTTTAGTTATTAAAATAATATGTCCATATATTTATTAAATGGCTTCAAGTCATCTTGCTTACTACTCCTGATATGCATACCACTCCCTTGGGACACTGTCTAATTACCCATAGAGCCTATTGAAATGATTTACCTTTCCCTCTGTTTTGCTCCTCTTCTAAAGAGAGCCCCAAAGAAGGCAATGCTATCTGAAAGTAAACTCGGCAAATCTGTGAAGCTTTTTTGAGAAAAAAAGACATTTGGAAAACATTCCAGTTCAAATAATCAAGATTTACCTATATACCTGCATAAAACACACTGCAAATTATGGCTGACTGATACTTATTACTTTAAGGTTCTACAAAGTTAACATGGTTCAAACCATGATTATATGAAGCTATAATGGCAAACAAAATAATTTTGCATTAACTTCCTCTAGCAGAAAATGCATCTAACAAAGAAGATACTTACATTTGAAGGTTTAAGTTTGTTAATGATTGTTGTTTTGCCACTATTATCCAGCCCAAGGCACAAAACATTAACCTCCTTCTTCTTCAGGCCAAGCAAGGCTGAAAGTCTGTCTAGTAATCCCATAATGTGATTCAAATATTTATAAACGAGCTGCAAGTCAGAAAAAAAAAAAAAAGATATGTTACCCACAGGCACCTGAAGTATGGAAAATATGAGCATGTATATAAAAAAAATTTAATAATATAAAGACACAATGATGTTACGAAAACCAAGTCAATATAGCTTTGTATTTAGTAAACAGGGTATAAGCTGATTACCAGAAAGGAGCCTTAACGGAAATGCAAATTGGCAGCTTACGACTCCTGGCAACACAGAATAACGTCCTTGAAATAACTGTACATTTCTCATTGTAATATTATAATATTTAAGAATAAAATGTACTTAAACTCATGTGGAGTCTGCTGTTTGTGATACCTGAAAATATCTGCAGCTTTTTCTGGAAATCTGGAGCAATGTATGGGCAATGGGGTTAATGTAGCGCCTAAGGCTGAAGCTTAGATATTGAAAGGCAGACCAGGAAAACAGAGAAAAACTGAGATTTTGGCTATATCATTTAAGCCACTGCTAAATCTTTTTCTGAAGCCAGTTTCATTGTTGTATTTTGCAGTAATAAATATTAAATTCACTGTTTTTGTTTGCTTGATTATATCCAATTTTGGTTGTGTTTCTATCAGCAGAAACACAGAATTCTGATACATTTATCTTAATTTTTCCTTAGTCCTTACATATATCTTTGTTAAGTTACTACAAATCCATTTGGGAAGAGGATTATGTATAAAATACACATATGCAAACACATTTTTATTAAACCTTAATAAATATGTTTTTTTAACTGTCCATTGGGCGCAACTGATCTCACAGATTCATTGCACACAAATTTTCAAATATATAACAGTTAAGTATTGTGACTCATAGCTTCTGTATCTTGCCCCTCTACCATGACCTATCGTCAGTCGGGTTTATGACTTAGTACAGTAAAGACGTATTTCATAGCAACATCTTTGTGTGCAATGAATCTGTGAAATCAGTTGTGCCCGATGGAGGGTTAAACTGTAATTTATCTGAAATATCCTAAGTATCATTTTAAAAGAACTTTAGTATACTTGTAAAGAACAAGAAAGTAAATACTAATTTTAGATTTTAATCTAGTTTTCTCAAATATTGTATAAGTTTCTTTGTTAATGCATCCCTCAAGTGTTCATTTCTTTATCAATTCTTTCTTTGGAAGAAAAAAAATCCTTCCAATGCAAACTTAAAAAACAAAACTCCATCATCAATCCAAACAGGAGTATTTTGAAGTCACATAAAACTGCTAATGATATATTGCTTGGTATATGTTAACTTTATGGCTTTTCTTATCCTTCCAAGGTACTGTCAAATTTAGAAGTCAGGTCTCCTCCACATGAAGCTTTCCAAAGGTGTTCCCTTTGGGTCCATCGCGTACCAAAACATTATTATGTGGTGGGAGAAAAAAGATACCCTTTTTGCTAGCCCTCAAATGCCAAAGGGACTGCTACAGCAGCACAATACACCTGTGTTCCAAACATTTCCTATTACTCTTTGGACCACCATTTTCAAGTTCTGTAAACATTAATCTCATTTATTTGATTTATTCTCACTGCTGTCTCAGGTTCCAGAAGCCTGTCACCTTACAGCTCCTTCATATCCCACACCATCCCAGGCAAGGCCATACCTTGAAGGACGTGAGGCTGCAGCAACTTAAATGATAAGAGGCTTCCAAGGCAACTGTGTCTGAAAGGAGGCTGCATCGTCAGTTTTGCTTAGGACCCTTGGGAGATCATTAAGGACAGAAGTTTCCAAACTGAATTTTAATGATGTACAGAAAAAAAACATGCGGTGACCCATCCAAGCATGGGGTCTATAAGAGAGTCACAGTTGTCTTACCCAAGGGATGGGTTTGATGTGAGATACTCCATTTGTCTCACCTGTGTTGGCGATTCAAATCTCACTCAATCCATTCCTTTATACCTCAGCTTAAGGATAAGCATTTGTAGAATCTACTTTAAGCTAGCCTTTTGATATCATAAAACAATTCACACAATTTTAATCCAAAGTAAATTTTACTCACTTTGTTATTGTACTAAAAATGCACAGTTTTCCATTTTCCTTCCATTTTGGAACAGACTTGTAAAAACATGACACTTATTACTCCTCTCTGGGCATCTACTATAAAACATCGATTGTCAAAAGCTTGATTCTTGAATATTCATTTTTCATAGAAACTTGGACTGTGACTTTCCATCCCTTTTTCACAGATTATCAAACACCTAATGCTTGTTACTGAAATATTTTGGGACACACAATTTAAATGAGAAGTCAGTTGTTCTAAAAGATGTAATTACATTTACTGAAGTTGCTCTATAAACAACTCATATACCTTACATATGCTTCTATTCCTTAGTAACTACACGCTTCTATAAGTTTACCTTTGCATGCATGAAAGAAGGAAATAAAAGATAATTCAAGCCACTCAACATTTATTTATCATGTCCTAAATGAACAGTGGGAGATACAATTAAAGTTTTCTGTAGCTCCCTACTCCTTCAGCCATCATTCTTAACCCTGGCTGCCTACTGAAATCGGCTATTGGATTAGTATTTCTGAAGATGGGATCAGGGCATCTGTAAAAAGCTACACAGTATTTCTGATGTACATTCACTATTGAGAACTACTGGCTTTCAGAATAAATTCCAAACTTTCATGCATTACTTTTAAGGTTGTTCACAATCCGGTTTATTTCTAGTTTATCTGTTTTCCTCTCTTTGCCCACCAGCCAATCAAACTCTCTTGGTTGTTATGTGAGCAACTGCTGTCTAAAGGATTACTTGTTGCCAGAAAAGTCCTGAAGATTTAGGATGTTATCCAGTTAAGAATTTGGAAGGTAAGCTGCAGAGATAGGGGGAGGGCAGAGAAAACAGCAGAAATGGTACTTTGTAAACTTTACAATTGTCTCTAGAATGAATTATATAGCACATTTCTAGTACCCCAAACAAACATTTTTATTTGGCTTTCTGTTTTTGACAATGAAATTTCAATTACATTTCTCACACGCCAAATATAAACTTCCAAACTAGGTAGTGTTAAAACCAACCAAAGAAACGAAACATCGATCCAACAAGTTCAATGAGTTTTCTGGGGTTTGGAGTACTCACAGTTCCTTTTCACGTCTCCTTTTCCACCTCTCACGCATTAGAAACGACTGACTACACGGAGTGAAAAACACGGAAGAGCAATTCTAAAACGGGGCAGGGTTGGGGGGTGAGGTAGGGGTGGAAGGGGGCGCCACTGGCTACAAAAATTGTAGATGGAGAAATACCTAGTCTTGGAGGTGAGTTCTGTGGGCCCGGGAGCTGGTACGGAACAGGAATGGATGCGCTCACTCGTATCCGTCTGTGGGATGGAGCGCTGGTGTGTGAGTCCCTCAGCCTTCCTGTCTGTGTCTCGATAGAAAGGATCCTGGTCCTGAGCAAAGCCGCGTCTACAAGTTGGGTGACATGAAACGGGAGCCTGAGCCTCGGCCTCCGTGGGCTCATCAGTAACTGGGCAGGCGCTTGGGCGCGTGGCGTTCCCCTGGCAACCGGAGGTTCTTCCGGTCCCGTAGCCACGCTTCCCCGGAGGTCATTGCAAATCAGCCGCCGCGCTTTAGCTTATCTGATTTGAGCTCCGGAAGATGCTAGAAGCACACGGAGGAGTGTTACAGAAGGCGTGAGCCCGGTTGCGTGGCAAACGGCCGCGTCCCTGCGAGGAGCCGTGTCGCTCCCCGGCGGAGCATGACGGGAATTGTAGGCCTGCGCACAGGCTGCTGGGAAGGGCAGGGGGTCGGCCTTTGCCGAGGGCGCTTCTCTTGGCCCTGGGCTCCCGGGCCCTGGGCTTCTCCTGGAGCCTCCCTGGAAAATCATCTCCCGCGGGCGGGTGTTCAGGGTGGCGCCCGGAGCACCCAGGAGTCTCTGCGCCGTTGCCGGTTGTGGGCGCAGCGTGGTGGCAGCAACTGCAGGACAGGACTGTGCTCCCTGGGGCAAGATGTGCGCCGGAGTTGCCCCTCTTCTGGGCTTTGAGAGGCCTGAGACCCTGGAGTCCTGGCAAAGCAAAGCTGTTAATGTAGGTGGGGAGAGAAGATAAACTCAAAGGCATTTTCAGCAAAAGGAGCATGCCTGTGTCTGGCTTCTCAGCTGTCTGATCTGAAGAGATTTCCACGAGGCATAATCTCCTGTGATTAGATTACAGTCCCCAGCATCAAATCGGCCGGTGGTCAGAAAAGAAAGTAATAGCCTGAACGCTTAAAGTTAGCCACCTTCTTAAATTGCACTGGGATTTTATAGTAACAAATGATGACCCTCCAATTGAAAATATTTTGACATACACGTTTCCCCACATTTTTGTTATAATACTATGCTTGCCGACGGAGAGCCTACAGATGCAATAATTTTAAAGATACTAGGATTTTCCTGTCAACCTTAAAATCTGCCCAGCCCCACCAGCCTCATCCCCTCAGTGAATGCTGTTCATGTTTTAAACGTTCTTCATTGAGTTTCCATCTCTACATTGTTACCATGAGTATAAGATTTATACCTCCCGCCAACTACCTAGTATTTTCTATCCTTCCTGCTTTGGTCTGCTAATGAATTTAGCCTATTAAATGGAGGGTGAAAAAAAGAGACTAGAAGGAATTATGTAAAAGTAATGATGGGGGAGGTGTACGTGTATGATTATGGGGTGATTTTTCTTGTTACTTTTCCAAATTTTCAAATGTAGAGTTACATTGTTTTTACAATGAAAGAAAAAAAAAGTGGTTATGGGCTAGTGACTATTGAAAGGCAAACACTAACAAAAAAACCACTGTATAGTTGCATATCCAAACTAATTGACTTACAAATGTCCTTGTAATGATGGAGTATGGAAATATATATATTCCTCCTTCTTGTGAAGGCCAGTTAGCCCTCCATTATGCTTCAGTTTCCTTACCTTCAAAAAGACACTGTCTCATCCGGTGGTTTCTAATAGATGATAGAAGTATATATGTTAGGCATGTAGTAGGTGTTCAATAATTTCCTGTCTTCATCCTGAAATTTTGGTTATATGGATAGGATTTTTAAAGGTGGTGGTTATTTAACTTCTGATTCTGAATGCATTTATAGTAAAATGTTGCTTACTTTTCTTTGTGACTGGGCACTGTGACTCGCTTTGATGAGATGGAAGCAAATTTATTTAAAGTTTCCTTAGAGATAGGCAGAATTCTTATGTTTCAGAAAATTTTAGTGGACAGACTTGATTTTTCCTGTTAGGAGTTGATATTTTCTGCCACCAGGTTGAGTCTTATCTTTAGTTAGTGCAAAACATTTGGAGAAAACTGAAAATATAATTGAGGGATTGGATATTTAACTTTTCAGTAAATTTAGACAGCTATAATTCTATTACCAAAAAAAAATTAGCTAAGTAGTTATCTTAGATCATTGTTGCTGATGTGATGGCTTATAGTTATTAGAGATGAATAGTGGTTATGAAACCCTCAGTAATCTAGAAAATGCCAGTTCTGAAAATATCAACCTTAAAAAAGTAAATATTTGATATGGTTGAATCCGTGGTTTTGGTGCTTTGACAGTGAAATATTTCTCAAGAGTTGATTCAAGGCTCAGCAAAAAAATTGTTCCACTTGATTTAAGAAGTTAGTTTGTCTCTCTTCATTTTATTTTGAGAATAAGAAGCTTTAAAAATGATATATGATTTTCTTAAGGCTACTTAAGATACCTGTATAAGGGAAAAAAGTTTCAGGCACTGTTGCCTTACAGCCTCATCCTCGACCGCCCGGCCACACCAGCCCCTGACCTAACAAGGTCACGAGGGAGTGTCTCGGAAAACAGACCCGGTGGAATGATGTCGGTTATCTCCCTTAGTTCATGGCCGCAGCTGCTGCTGCACCATCCTGGGGGTTGTGTGTGTAGGAGTACGAAGGCACAGCGTGTGTTGGAGCACAATAATGGGTCTGGTTGATAAAAACTGGCCTTAAGACACTTATCACACAAAAAAATAAAGTTTTACTCCCTTAAATTTTCTTAATAAAAGCTTCAGTTGGCTCGATTAGATGCTCAGTTCCAGAAAAAAACCTACAGCCCCCTGGCTTTGTGTTCTAAATCTACCTTTGTCTCTTATATTTCTTTAACCCTACGCCATCCCCTCTCACTCATCACTGCTGGTGCTGCGTGGGACACGACAAGGTAGTTTATTTAAATAGTTTTAAGCTCATACTGGCTTTTGGAACTGTAGTAGAAGAATTGTAAGAAATAAGAGAGATGATGAATATAGCACTATTCTGATTAATTCACGTTATTTTTTATGTATTTTCTTACCTGAAACTTTTAAAATAATATAGGAAATAGCTGATTCGTAATTTATTGGAAGGTTTTGGAATGAATGTTGATGGTCTACAGCTGTTTGAGCAGTTGGACATCATATGTATCTTTTGGTCATCTACAATTTGTATATAGTAGTATCTCTACAATGAACAATTTACTTGAATCTCACAAGACATTTTGCTCACATAAAATCACTATAAAAATATATACCAATTATTTATGTTAATTTATGTGAATTTGTCTTGACCATAATTATGTTATTTTGAAAAATTACAGCTATGATTTTGTATCCAGAATTACTAACATGTCTAAAAAGCATCTAGATTTAATAGACTAAAAAATAATATTAAGTGTCAGTACAATACAAAATAAAGTCACAAATTCAACCACCAGAACTGTAACTTTTATTTGCTAATAGATATTTTTAATAAACAGGCTTACTTCATCTGTAAGACCCTGATAATGTCTCTTAGGAAATCATAGAAAAATAAAATACAATAATTAGTAATTTGTACTTTGTACAAAAATCTTATTATGTTGCTCAGCAGGTAGTTTTGCTAAACCCCATATTCTTTCAGCACATAGATAGATGATATATGTAATCAATACACCACAATCCCTCATTGAGAGTTGAACATTCTATAACACTACTAATTTGTAAGCATGCCAGCACATGAAAATTTACATGGGACATCATAATATTACAGTAGATTTTTATAAGATGAAAACGATACCACCTTCAAGTAAGTCTGGACTACTTCACTGTTACAGTGAAGTAGATAATAGGTAGGATTGCAGCTCCTTGTTAATACCCTTTTACTGTGTTTATCTCTCTACCCTATTGTGATACAACCAGAAAGAGAACATAGGCTGTGTTAGGAACCCGAGTGGAAGGCCTACATAGAGAAGCTCTAAATGGTGTAATACCAAAGAGAAAAAAATAATACAGTGCTATGCTTCTTTATTCTCACAAACAGATCTTTCCCCCTGTTTTGCAAAAATAGATGGGTAAAGTGCTAAATCCATAATTAATTGTAAATAACTTTATGACAGTTTACAAAGAAATTTTTAAAAGCACATTCATACTTACAGGAAGGAAAATGTTTTCAGCTGCAGTTTTTTATTCATCAAATATTGCTCTATGAGGGATTAAATGTCTCAACCTAGACAGATGTTATCTAGGTATTTTGTATAAATGTACTATCTAGTATTAAATTAATAAACTTTTAAGGATTTGTACTGCAAAGATTTTTATAACGATTTTGAATACATGGCAACTGTTGACATCTCCCATTTAATATTTGACATGGTCATTTAAATATTAAATGTTTAATCAAATACATATTGATATGTACATATATATATCTATATTTTGGCTATGCTAAAACAGCAAAAAAAAAAATGGAGAGCAATCTTACTCCATTGTTCACAATCTAATTTTCAAATAAACCCAAAGAATAAATATGCACCTATAAATTCCAACACATTGAATTACCTACAGCTTATTCAGAAATAAAGCTTCAAGCATGAAGACCACACATCCTTCCTATACGAAAAGGAGGGCACAATTAACAGAAAGAAAATATCGTCCATTTGTTTTTTCTAAATGATAGATGGTATTGACATTTTTCATATGAAAACAAAAGTATTGTTTTAATAAGCGATTAGAGCCTGATTATTGTGTTATTTTTTAAATTCAGATATGGGCTCAAACCCTCCAAAATAGTGTTTTGAGAAACTGACAGTTTGAGTATATAATACACATCTTTCAGGATTAAACTACTTTTAATTTTCATAGGCTTTGAATTATAACAGAATAGCTACAAAGCATGTCTGCCTTTTACTCTGTAGTAGACAAAAATAAATAACAAAACATGAGAAGTATCTATGGCATTGAGAAGTCCTCACTTCATCTCTGCATTATAGAAAAGAAGACTGTCATCAGAGTCCTTGGAAATCACAGAATTCAAGTTCAAATCTTTCAAATAAGATGTCTCAAAATATTTAGCAAAAATGGCTTTAGAATATTTTATACAATAGGTCTTTTTTCCTATGATGTATTACATACACACAAATATTCATTGGCTATGTGTTTATGTATATAGGTACATGTATATATGCATATATGTGTATATGTGTATGTATGGTCATATATATATTCATATATATTCACTTTCCCCCTTTCCAACTACTACATACACCTCTTTCCTCCGACCTATACTCCGTTCCCACTCCCCATATTGACTTTTATCTCCTCTTGGTAAAATAAAACTACTCACATAGTAACCT